TATTTAAATTTTAAAAAGTAGAATAGTCCTGATCTTGTGATTTATACCTAAATACGCTATTGGGATTTTTCGGCTTGTCGATTTCTCGATTTTTCAACTTTAAATGTCTCAATTTTTCAATATTTCAATTTTGGGCTTTTCCGATTCCTCCATTCCTTAAATTTTTTATTTCTCGATTTTTTTATTTTTCGATTTCTCAATCTTACGATGTTTCAATGATACGATTTCTCAATTTTTGTCCTCTTCAATTTTACGGTTTTTAAATATTTCGATTTTTCAATTTTTCAAATTTTCACGTTTCTAAATTTTCAGTTTGCCGATTTCTAAAGTATTTTTTTTATTTGTCCATTTCTGGATTTCCTAAAGTTTCGATTTTTCACATCTTCAATTTTCCAATTTTTTAATTTCTCAATTTTTTGAATATTTCTTTCAGTTATGAAATTTTTCAATATTTCAATTTTTCGACTTTTCGATTTTTGAATTGATGGATTTTTTTTTGATTTCTCGGTTTTTTCCTTTTTGGATTTTCATTTATTGTAAACTTTAGATTTTTCAATTCTGGGACTGTTTAATGCTTCGATTTCTCAATTTTTAAACTTTTCGATGTTTTAATATTTCATTTTTTAAAATTCTAGGTTTTTCGATATCTCGAGTTTTCAGTTCTTCTATATTTCAATTTTTCATTTTTCGATTTTTTGAAATTTAATTTTTGATTTTCCAGTTTTTCTTTTTTAAAATTTTTCGATTATTCAATTTTTTAATTTCTCAATTTATCGAATTCAAATGTTTCGTTGTTTTGATTGTTCGATTTCTCAATTTTTCAATTTTTGACTTTCCTTTTCGGCTTCCGACTCCTCAATTTCTCGATCCTCCCATTTTTCGATTTCTCGAAGTCTCAGTTTTTGAATTTTTCGATGTTTCGATTTTTGGATTTCTCGGTTTTTCAATTTTTTTCTTTTGAGCTTTTCAATTTCTGGATTTTCCAATTTTTCAATGCCTCGATTTTTCAATTTTTCAAATTGAATTGGATCTCTCGATTCTTCAATTTTGCGATCTTTTAATTATTCATTGTTTTAAATTTTAGTTTTTTCGATTTCTCGATTTTTTGACTTTCCAGTTCTTCAGTATTTAAATTTTTGAATTTTTCAAATTTTTGCGTTAAATTTTCAGTTTTCTGATTTCTCAATTAATCTATTTTTGATTTTCCCACTTCTCAAAGTTTCGATTTTTCAGTTCTTCAATTCTTCGATTTTTCGACTTCGCTTTATTGGTTTGTCGATTTCTCAATTTTTGGATATTTCTTTCAGTTTTGATATTTTTCAATACTTCGATTCTTTCATTTTTCGACTTCTAGATTTTTCTGTTTTTTATTTTTGGATTTTCAGTTTTTTGTTTTTTATTTTAATTTCTCAATTTTTCAACTTTTTCATATTTTAATTTTTAAATTTCTAGATTTTTCAGTTTCTCGAGTTTCCAGTTCTATATTTTAATTTTTTAAATTTACGAATGTTTAAATTTTTTGAGATCTCAATTCATCGAGATTCGGATGTTTCGATGTTTTGATTATTCAATCTCGCTTTATCAATTTTTTCCATATTTAAGTTTCCGATTTTTCGATTTTGGCCTACTTCGGTTTCTCAATTTTTTGATTTTTCGACTTCTCGATTTTTCGACTCCTCGATTTTTTTTGTCTTTTGATTTTTCGATTTCTCGATGTCTCAATTTTTGAATTTTACAATGTTTCGATTTTTCGATTTGTTGGTTTTTCGATTTTTTGCTTTTCGGTTTCTCGATTTTTCGATGTTTCGATTTTTGATTTATCCGATTTTTCAATTGTCCAATTTTTAAATTCTCGACTTCTCGATTCGTTGATTTTTCAGTTTTTCGATTATTAAATTTTAGATTTTTGTTTTTATTTTTATTTTTGATTTTTTGATGTTTGGATTTCTCCATTTTTCAGTTTTAGGATATTTTAATTTTTCAGTGTTTTAAATTTTAGATTTTTCGATTTTTTAGTTCTTCAATATTTTTTTATTTTTCAAATTTTGACGTTTCTGAATTTTTAGTTTTTGGATTTCTCAATTAATCTATTTTTTTATATTCCCATTTTTCCACTTCCTAAAGTTTCGATTTTTCAGTTCTTCAATTTTTCGATTATTCAGGTTTTTGATTTTTCAATTTTTCGATTTTTTAAGGTTGCGATTTTTAGACTCTGATTTTTTGACTTTTTTGTTTCTCAATTTTTTAATTTCCTAATTTTTTGATATTTCGTTCAATTTTGTGATTTTTCAGTTTTTCGATTTCTCAATTTTAACTTTTCAATTTTTGAAATTATTAATTTTTTTCGATTTTTTGAGTTTTCAGTTCTCTATATTTCAATTTTTCAATTTTAGGAATTTTTAAATTTTCGATTGTCCATTTTTTTTTTATTTTTCGATTTTCCAATTTTTCGATCTTTCGATTTTTGAATTAACCGATTGTTCAATTTCTCGATTTTTAAATTTTAGATTTTCCAATTTTTATTTTTTTGATTTTTTTATGTTTCGATTTCTCGATTTTACAATTTTCCCATATTTGAATTTTTCAGTGTTTTAAATTTTCGATTTCGAGGATTTACTGTGTTACAGTAGTCATCAGTCATTACTCATCAAGAACGATTATTGCTGTGCGTTAAAATGTCTACATACTGATAAGCATAAGCACGTACATACAAGACACATTTAAGGCTGTTTTAGTATAATTTTTGCAATTCTAAATTTATTTCTTGATGTCTAAGGGCCGGTTTATCAATGCTCAGTTAAAAGTGTCTGTTAAGTAACTGTCAGATAAGGGTAACTAGCAGTTAACGGAGGTAAAGTGTTTATCAATGCACGATGTTTCTTCCAGTTTCGTAGCTCGAAGTTTAGCTGTTACTCTCTTAATAAGTTGGTAACGCTCACCCAACTGGAAATGAGTTGTGATTGGTCAGTTTAAAACTACCCCGACCTTGAAAGTTCCATCAGATTCGATCCGCATTCGGTATTCAACGATTGTATATCGCGTTTCACGTGATCAATCATGAAAAAGAAAAATTTAGCATTAGAAAAAAAGAAATCGTATATATTTAAATGGTGATGAATATTTTGTGATACAATCTTAGGATAAAATGCATTTTAGTTTCAAAAATAATATGTATTTAATGATTTGACTACTGTTATTAAAAAAAATACGTAAGAAGATGTTCATATTGAATTAATTTGGTGTTCATAGTTTGATGATAATCCATGTTATTCTGGAGGCAAATTAGATGACTTGTTACTTATTAATTAAAGTAGTGGTCGTTTAATTTCGTATACCTTTAAAGTGGACGAAGGGACGCATATTTGTTAGCCATGCAGTTCATGGATAATAGGTATACCGCGATAATATTAAATTTTTGTTACCTTAACCTTGAAACAGGTATGCACTACATATACATATATTACAGTAGTCTTCAACACGTACGTTTACTTATTTTGTGACTGCTCCCCGTACAACGTACTGATTAATACGTCCGTTTACTACCTTATCGACATCACGTGCTTACGGACTATTTTTACCCCCTTTCGTAAGGTACCGCCACTTCATAGTGAAGCGAGTGAGATGTAAAATATATATTCATTCTTTTCTACATGGGAAAGTGATTGTCCGTATAGGTTGTCCAACTATAATATACTTAAACAATGGTAGTACATATAAACATAGATTAATATTGACAGGGATAATTATTATCTCTGTTCTGTATATAATTAGAATTAATTAATATAAGAACTTAAGAAGCATAAATTATTAGAATGCCAATGTAAATGTTAAATGTTAACTCTATCACAACTGGAAACGGAACATCTGGACCATCTGGACACAATAAAACTTTGTTTTGCCACATTTTAAATTTGTGCCACAAAGTACACCAATCGAATGTGGTGTTTGGTTTAAAAGATTCATCATCGTCGCCAAGTTAAATTTGAGCGCGGACAAATACAGGGTTAGTCACGAGAGAATTACTTCTGAAAATTATTTTTACGCAACCCAAAATACGAATACCATGTACCATTTGATACTAACTGAATTTAAAATGAAATGCTTAATCCATGATTGCTTTGAGTTTGGCAATCTCATTTTGACAATTGTGGAAAAGGAGGTTACGCGAGTGTCCATAGTGGTACCGCAGCCAGTCAGAAATCTCCTCCGGCGCCGCTAATAAATTTGTCAGTGTGCCTCTTGATCTTTTGCAACCGATTAATCACGAGAAAATTATTTCTAAAAATTCCTTTTACGGCATTTTATTCAAAGGTTACAACACAAACTGAAACAAGTAAGTAAATAATTTAACTACTAATCTGTTGAAAATGTTGGGCATTTTGGGGGGATGCTACGGCTTTTTTGTAAATGGATAGCCGAAGAAGTCCAGAGGTTGCAGATTTGCACTTCGAAGAGGCTCTAGGTGACGCAGAGATGGCGAATTAACACATGCACATTAGTGGCGTGGTGGCGAACAACATTGGTAGATCACTTACGGCTTGAGTATAGCCCAGATGATCTGACTGTATGTCGTCAATCCAATGGGGCTCTAGGGGCGAATCAACGATGAAAAAAAAAGTTAAAAATTAATTAACGTCAAAGTGACACTGCCAAAGTCAAAGCAATCATGGATTAGGCATTTCATTTTAAATTTAGATAATATCAAGTGGTACAGGGAATTAGTTTTTTGGGTTGCGTAAAAATAATTTTCAGAAGTAATTCTCTCGTGACTAACCCTGTATAATAATTGCTTTCACTTGATTCTTTGGTTGGATGAGCATCATAGTCATGCAAAAGGTCTATTGCTTAGAATGTAGGGGTATTATATCAATCACCACCCGTCGTTCTAAAATCTAAACATGAATCATGAAACAAGTTCTTCCTTGAATGTAGTAATTTTTGGTTTATAAGGTTGGTAGTCCGTTTGTCAAAACGACAGAACGTCAACTAGATTATACGTCACTAGTACTAATGTCACTTCGTTTTCCGCTTTGCTGTCTCCACCTCTACTTGCGCTTCGCTTCAGTATCCACCAACGATAAAGTCGACGTCATCTTTGCGGGCAGGGTGTAATGTTTTGTAAAATACTTTAATTGTTGGGTGTCTAAGAACAAGAGTGTTTTAACCTCTCGGAAAATGGTATGCAATAATTTAAGAAAATTTTCAAATATAGAATTTTGTTTAATTTTTAAGATTTTAAGTTGTCATTAAATTCTGAACTGTGCAACGTCTTGATTCCAGGTGCTGATAGCTGCTGCGGTTTGTACAAAAGCAGGCAAAAGTAAGTCAGATACATTAGTTGCAAAGATCAACGTTGTTATAACCACTGAATTATTTTAGCAATTGTATCTCGACAATTTGTTGAGATGACAAAAGCGCGGATTGAAGGCCTGCTGGCTGCATTTCCAAAACTTATACCTACTGGAACGCAACATACGTTTGTAGAAACTGATTCAGTTCGTTATGTATACCAACCATTGGAGCGCCTGTATATGCTGTTAATAACTACAAGAGCCAGCAACATACTGGAAGATTTAGAAACTTTACGATTATTTGCAAAAGTTGTTAGTATCAACTAGTAGTCTTGACATGATGTTGTGTTTTGTGTTTCCAGATTCCAGAATATTGTCGTTCATTTGAGGAAAATGAAATTGCAGAAAATGCTTTTTCATTGATTTTTGCATTTGATGAAATTGTAGCGTTGGGTTACCGTGAAAGTGTTAATTTAACACAGATTCGAACATTTGTTGAAATGGATTCACATGAAGAAAGAGTATATCAAGCTGTACGCCAGGTAAATCACTATTTTCCATTTAATTTAAAATAGGGAGTATTGGACAAAGGCTGCTTAAATAATTTCGTGTATTTTTCGCCTGTGCAATTCTGTGAGAGCTAATTGAAAATCACTTCTAAAGATTTTCCAAAATTAATTTTTATTTAAAAGTGTGATATCACAGACTCATTTTTGGGATTTGATGAACAGTAAAGTCAAATATTGGTGATGTGAAAATTGTATAATACACACATGCTAGATTTGTGTTTCACTAAAGCTAGGGATTGTACATACATTGCAAATACACATAATAAGTACATAATATTAATGTAGATTTCTTCCCTTATAGGTGGATATCACCTTAAAAGGTTATTCATAATATAACAACTTAACAGATATAATTGAACTTATTTATACTAAATATGGAAAATAACACAGGTCTCCAGAAAAAATCGCAGTCATACGCTTTTTGTCTTTTGGGCATAAATGACTTCCTTGTATCCTAAAACTTCATAAAAAAGATTTTTGCCGTTTGTGCACGTCTAGTTTAATTTTTATTGGAGTCCGAAATACGAAAAAACTCGATTTTAACGCTTTTCAAAAAAAATAATACCTTGCACAATAATAATAATTTTTTTGAAATAATTAGCAAATTTTATTTATAAGGATTTGAATAAATGGTTTTAATTAATTTTAGATGCTTAAAATCATTTTGTTTTTGCTTGACGACTGTAACAATTCGATGAACACTCCCTTTGCAGGAACCAACAATAATCTCCCATTGTTTATCCTAATCCCTTACTTCGAAACCGTGATATTTGTGATATATCAATTTAACAATATGCGATATATGCAGACGGTGCCATTTTATACCATATTGACCGCAGATGTAACAAAATACATTAGGGTTGTTCTTACACATGTACAATTGGTTTCAAAAAAAAAACGGGACAAATGAAAGTGACGCAAACGTCATATTCCCATTGCTTTTCGATCTATGAGCACCTGATTTACTCATCTTGTCCCGTTTTTTGTGAAACCAATTGTAAGTGCGATCTTTTTTCAGTATTACACTCATTTTGCAAAATTACACACAACAAGAATTTTGACGTAACTTCTAAATGTCATTTAAATGTGACACATGCCTACTTGACTAAATCATCAAATCCGATTTTTTCAACTCGTGTAATAAGGGCAGGACAGATGCACGTTTTATGTGAAAAATGGCAATTTTACGATATAAAATTACGTGTAGCACAAAAATGTGACGTGATGGAAAAATTTTGGAGAGCAGATTTCAAATCTACATAAAAAACTGCATTCAGTGCACACATTTTTATTAAAGGAGTATTTTGGTTGTTCACTAATGTAATTGAATCCATTTTAAATATGTTAACACGGAAAGAAACAGTCAAAATGTAATTATTTAATGATATAGGAGGAGTAATAACTATTATATTACCATATGTATGTGTTACGCGGAAAATAAAACGTGGTTTTCATTTTCTATTTTAGTTTAGTTTTTTAGTTTATTTATTATAGTTAAAAATACTAACCACAATAATGCATAAACATAGAAAATTAAATATAAATAATTGCCACTAATCGATAATGATCGCCTCACTTCGACCTAAAAGAGTTATATTGTCGCAATTTATAGCGAAATTTTAGAGGTTCAGGGGGTAATGTGAGTCACCTTTTCCTCTTATTACACCGAAAGTTTTCCAGCACATCCTGATTTAATTGGTACTATTCCGGACAAAATATTTCAAACGACTTCATATTACATTGACATTAAATTGTAAATGTGGCTTTATGAACACCTAACCTTACCTAGTGTATTTATATAATATATTAATAAGGGTAGGGCAAACGAAGGAATACATTTTAATTGTTGGATAATTTTCTCCAAGGCCTTTTTAAATTTTAAGCAATTTAATGCAGTGGTGTTCTTTAGTAGAACAAGTTTTTTTAAATTTAAGGCAGCATTTAAAAAACAACCATTATTCGTGTGGAAACATTGTCAAAATTATTAGAGAAATAATAAATATTGACCCGATTGCGAAATCAATCAAATTTCCAATTTGCTGCAGTGTAAAGACAAAATTTATAACGAAGTTTATTGTATACCGTTTGAAGATCTACAGCAAAAAGTTAAAAGACCAGATCAAGAAAGAACAGAAATTAAAATGGTCCAGCAAGAGCCACGCAATGAGAGAGTTGGCTGAAAATTTAAGAAACCAGAAATAAAAAATAAAAATTGATTTGTAATAATAGATATTTATTTTATTAGGAGTTTAAGTGATACTTTATATGTCGAGTATGGACGATTAAATTAAGTCCATACGAGTCACATGAAGTCACTTAAACTCCGAATGAAATACAATATTTTATTTTCAAACGATTAATTTTCTTTTGAAATGATTATTTCCTATCTTCTTGCTTCATTAAGGAATTTCCTTGATCTTTGCCATTTATAATAAATCCATAGTCCAAGAAGGTGTTTATGATTAATTTAAGTGAGTGGGGAATATCGGCAATCATACACATATGTATTTTGATTATTTACGGGATTTGCAAACCATGGCGTTGTATGGCCAAGTCCTAATTCTGCATGCCAATGCTCTGTTACCAAAGAATATTAACAAGAATGAACAGGAAGCGATACTCCCACGGTTCACCATGGTGTGTCTAGTTCAGCTACATTTTTAGTCAAAATGTATCCTTTCATCCCCCGAAAAAATTGATGACGTCATCTCAAAATTTTGCCGAATCAATTTTACCTAAAATATGCAAAATATGATGAGTTTTCACTTGTGATTTATCACTGCATTCATATTTTTTAGATTTGCTTACACAGGTGGCTCAAAAAAATTAATAAATTTATTGATTTATTCAGAAAATTTGGGAATAAGTACTGTTTATATTAGTATTACTCTGGACCAATTAAAGTTGATATATGTCTCATTGCTAAAATATTGATGACGTCATCCCAAAATTTTTTAAAGTAAAAATTCATGTGGAACAAACGCTTAGCACGCTTCTTTACATTGGTTTTAACATTGCATATATATGTTTATTTCAACTTCAACTTTCAACTGGTGTTCTCATAAAAAAATTAAAATTCGCAACATTTTCATTAAACACGTCCGAAAATACCGGACTGATTGTTGGTAAATTTTGTATGTATATTAAGAAAGAATATCATGCAGATGGCAAAGCGCTAACTAAAATTTGACTAATCATCTCCACCACCGATGGAATGAGGTCATCTTTAAAATTGATAATAGTTATTTTTTTTATAAAATAAGATACTCCTCCACTTGTGGTGTGTGAATCCGTGTTGAATTTTCACCCTAGACATTAAGATTTTTTGAAAAAAAAAAATCAAAATTGTATAACAATATTTTGAACTGCAAAACGAATCCTCTGGTATCTTGTAAACATTTTAAGGTTATCGTAATCAAAGTAAATCGTTAAGTAAAATTTATTCGTTTATTCCGTCCCAATGTTGATGACGTCATTTCAAAATTTGCCGAACAAATATGCAAAACATTATAACTCTATACTCGTGGTCTCGGGTTTTATCAGCACACTCACAGTTTTTAGAATTATATGTACAGGTGACTCCAAAAAATTAACGAAAGTCCATTTTTTTTATTGGTTGCACAACCATATGCTTTGCATTGAATTGCTTATACAGGCTATGAGTCAATTTATTTAGTTGATTAAATCAGGAACGGCTCACTTCAGTTTCCCAAAAATAATTTGGGATTGCAATACGTTATCATCAGTATTATACTTACACCTGTCCAAAGCAATATACGTGTGTTTGCAAAAAAATGTTGATATACATATCTTTTTTTACACGTGTTCTCATAAAAAAATTAAATTCGCATAATGAAATTTAATAATTTTTCAAAGAAGCTGGATTTGTTTGTACTTCGGACGCCAGGGAAGTTCTGTCCCAATGTTAATCGTTTAATTATTTTAGTGTTATAGGTTCAATTGTTTCTATTTTCATAATAAAATTTGGTCAGTAATTAAAAATATATAATTCGTTACGATTGCACAAACAAAATTTTCTGATCGTATTTAAATGGTTTAATGACATTGGTAGAAAAAATGAAATATTTTCTTTACAGACACAAGAAAGGGAAGCCAAAAATAAAATGCGGGAGAAAGCAAAAGAATTACAGCGTCAGCGAATGGAGGCTGCGAAAAAGGGTGTAAAACCTTCATTTGGCAGTAGTGGAGGTTTTGGTAGCTCATCAGGTTACACTCCATCACCTTCCGTTGGGGACACAGCCAATATTTCAAATGATATCAAGCCTCCAACATACATTGCACCTCAGTATGTATTTCACCTTTACGTTTTTCTTCTCAAAATGATGTCCATTTTAGAAAACCAACAAGCCGCGGAATGAAACTAGGAGGAAAGGGTCACGATGTTGAATCGTTTGTAGATCAGTTAAAATCTGAAGGTGAAAATGTTGTTGCACCGCTAAACAGTATTTCTCAAGGAGGATTGAAAATGCCAGCGATCAAATTAGATGGCAATGAGTAAGTAAATCAATATCTCAGTTTGTTTTATATTTATTTTTTATACCAGTCTATTGTAAATTTGTGTTTTGGGTTACAAAATAAGGCATTCTCTCTTTTGAAGTAGAAGTAATTTATAACAAACTTTGTCAGAATTTTTTAGTTTATGTATTAATATTGCACTAAACGACATACAGGGTCGCTAGAATGTATGGAAACGGCTTAATAGCTTGAGAACCAATTGTACAAATCAATTGAAATTAGGTATAGGGGTACAAGAAGTTATGCTCTAATAATTCATTTTTTGCTTCATTTGTTTTTAAAATGCCACACCAACTTGATTTTTTTAAATCACACTACCATATATTTAATGCATTCTGAATTGGAGCTTTTTTGTTTAAATTCATCGTTATAGCACAATCCTACTTCCTTTCTGATTGAAATGGCAAAATAATAACTATTAACATACCTAGAATGTAATAAATGTCGTAACAGCCGCAAAATCCGAGCGATAGCGAGGATTTTGAGACATTTAAGGCGGCTATGAGATTGTTACATCCGTGGTGTGTTCAAGGTTTTATTGGTTTCTGTCCATTGAGCCAAAAATTGAAAACAGTTAAATCAGGCAGTTTGCTTTAAAAAAGATTGAGCTGAGCGCGTTTGTATCAGATGTTTCCCTGTCATGGTTACATTTTGTTGTTTATAAAAAAAAAATTGTGAACAAATTTAGAAAAATGATGGATTTAGGCGGCGTATTGCTTGAAAATGTTAAAAATGCAGACAGTCGAGAATTAAACCTTAAATAAAGTTACTTACATTTATTGGTTTCCACGTTCGTTGCTTTTCAATTCCTTGACAAATGTTTACAATTGACATTTCGGTAAGGTAATGTTACCTTACCGATTTAACATACAGTTATGGCTTACCTACCAGCCAACTTTTATAAATGTAAACAGACATTTAATAGACCGAAACCGATAAATTATTTTAAACAAAAATAAATAAAAAAAGAAATATGCAAAAAATGGTGCATCTAAGTGAAACTGAGCGCATAGAACGATTATCGGTTACGGTGACAAAAGTTTTGCTCAGGGAGTAACACTTTTCAATGAAATTCATCCTGAGCGAGAACCCATTTTTAAGTCGACGGTTTCAAAAACCAGACGAAGATTTAATGAAACTGAAGAAAATGCCTTTAATGTCCTTTTAGATGCAACAGCAAAACTTCAAAAATGTCAGTGCAACAATTAGCGCTGAATTACAGTGGTAGTAGAAAATCAATTTAAACAATAATGAAAAAGGAAAAGTTTCACCTTTAAAAAATCCATTTGCTTGCACCACTTGACTTTTTTGTGAGGTACCTGAACAAATAATGAAAGATCAAATGCGCCGACACGAATTGTCCATACTGATTGATATCTATACTGTGGTGGAACTGTAAAAGTACCTTTAGATTTTGACTTTCTTATAACCATAATTGTAAAATATTTGCAAGTAAAGCTTGTCAACGTCATAACTTTAAAGTTATGTTACTGTTATAGAACAATAATATTATTTATAAAACTTTACATTATAAGTTGAATTAAAAAGTCTTTTCATTTTTAAAATAAGCAGTGAAGCAAATCAAAAGGTTGTGGAAATATTACGATACCTACCAATGTTTTCAACGAAAACGCTCCGGTGTATTTAACGGCGCTAATCTGTTGGCCTCAAAATTTATTTCAATAAATTAGCATTATTAATGTACATATTTAATTGTTAATTGACCATATTAAGTGAAGGGTGTCGTTCATTAGAAAACTTATGCCTTAGCTTTGTCAATTAAAAAAAAAAGATTCATGGAATTTCATTTGTTTAACTGTTTCATAAGATTATGAATAAAAGTTAACTGTTGAATTTATTAAACGTACAATATAGGCGTATAGGATTTAATTAATTATAAGAATAACAATGGAAAACAACACTAACAAATATCTAGACAGTGATGCTAACAGAGTCAATCCAACCGACTACCATCAATACAGTTTCCTCTATCTCTTCAATATCTTCCTCATTTTCATCTTGCAAAGTGTTGTTCTCAATGTCAGATTCTTCATCGGTAGACGAATCAGTATTTCCATTAAATACAAATGGTGGCACATCATCAATATCTTTACAACCCATGTATTTTTGCCAATCCTTTCTAATTTCTGCTTCAGTATGTTTAATGAAGTATTTCCTCTTTTCTTTTGAGCATTTTTCAAGAACTTCTTTCCATACAGATATTACACGATTTTCTCCGTTAAGTGACCAGAAACATGCTTATTGTAGAATCCTTTGCAATCTGCCCATGCCAATTTAATTGCATTATATTGGCAGTTATAAGGGGGCAGCCTAAGTACGTCATGACCCTCTTGTTTAATAATTTCGTTTATTTGATATTTTACAGAAAAACTGTTTCGTTCTAGATAAGGTTTCACAATATTCCAAAGTTGTTTCTTCGTACTACTGTCATTAAAGGCAATATTATGGTTATTTAGGTTATTTAACCAGAGGATTAAATCACTTTTTAGTAGAACTGGTTGGTGGTTTTTCAATCTTCATGGAATGATATGATGCATTATCCATAATAACAATGCATTTCTTATTTAAAGTTCTTGAAGCTAGAATGAGCTGTTGTGTGATCCACTTTTTGAAAATATTGCCATTCATTGTCTAATGGTAGTCTCTGTCGTTTATCTTACCGTCCAGTATTAAGTCGCATCCAGGTAAAAATCCACCTTCACATTTAAATGACGAAGGCAGTCCTTTTGAATTTGATTCCAAACACCACTGTCGAATTTGACTGCCATTTAGATACACTCATGTTTCGTCTAAAAATATAGATACAATATTTCCTTTCTCATATTCTTTTAAATATTCCAAATATTTGCACAAAAACTTTATTCATTAATTGACAATTTGTGGTCTTCCAATCAATATCTTTCTTCTATCGACGTTTTTATATCGATATCCAATTAATTTAATGATGTTATATAAAGTTCTTTTACAAAAAGTTAAACCAAGATTTTCTTTTGCATATTCAAAAATTGTTTGAATAGTAAAATGTTCGTTTTTCTTTGTTTTCGAGAAAATGAAATCGTTTAATGATTCTTTGAAAGCATAACTAACAACAGTTGCCTTTCTTCCAGTTTTTTTCAGACAAAGTGCTTTTTCTAGCTGCTTACGTTCAAGTACAGGTCTGACGGTTCTACTGCTTACCTAAAAATGTCATAAATCATTGAAAATAAAGCAACAAATATAAAATGTTTCAAACTTGAAAAACTAATGCTATACGTTCCACACTACCATTCGCGTTGTTCGAATCTTTAAAAAACTCATGGTAACAACGACACATTGTTTTACACTCTAACTGTTAGGTTCTTCATTTCAAGATCACCTAGAAGGGAACGCTAATGAAACTTTATAAAAGTATTTATAATTTAACATACTTTGATGATGCAACTGTAGAAATAATTTGTTTCCGAAAAGAACTGATCTTAAATAGCTAAATGTGCAAAGGTATTGACCGAAAATAAATTGACACCAATAACAACAAAAGTCAAAACGTAGTCCAGCCAACATCGACACTTTTATAAATTTTTAAAAGATTCAGTTTTACCAACATAATATTAGATTTTGCATAGCAATCTTGATGACACTTCCATTTGCACAGACTATAGTTGCGATCTTTTCTATAGAACCACTCCCTAGTGTAAATCTTCAAAATTTGTTTGGTGTAAGTGACCTTGACGGGTTTCTGGGGGGAAACAATTGTGTCAAAAATTTGACAGATTAGATTGCCCCATTGTCAGTTAGTATTTTATTTTAATAGATAGATGAACAAAATAACAGTTTGCACGGGACACAGTGCAACAAATTGAAGGCATAGCCGAAATATTCGATCGCCATGCCCGGAAACGCATTTAGAACAATAATTTTGAATCATTTTTCCATGTGTTTGCGAGGGTGTGAGCACTACAAAGGAAGAGGAACGGAGTTAATACAAAGTAGTGGGTGCGAAGTAAGTGACGCAGGGCGTATAAAACTAGTGTGAAGTGGATTTCGTCGTGTTTGAATTGAAAAACTATTTTCCCAACTTTTGTTTCCAGTTCTCTCCTAGAAGCTGTGGGACACAGACTTCCGATTTCCCGGTAACATTTTGTTGCCGCAGTCTTTTAATTTTTTGGATGACAATGTCTTTGTGGCTTTTCTTTCTTTCCTATCTTTCTCTTTTTCGCAGGAAATCAAAATGTTTTAAATCAGAACCGCTATGAATTAAAGCGCTTGTCAACATGCGTCGTGCATCAAACGCAAAGTCATTTAATAGATGATCGGTCACACCAACTCAAAATTACAAGTTACCAAAAATTCCCAAGTAATACCAACCTCATTTTGACGTCACATGGGGCTGACACCTCTCCTCCCCCGTAAGCGATTTTGCCCACATACTCGTTTATGTGGTAACCTGTTCTCTATTAACTAACCTTGCATCAAACGCTGGTCAAACGTCAATGTGCCACCAACTGCGTTTGGCATAAAGAACTAAACGACAGTACTACCAACTTGACTTTTTATCGAGTGGTTCCGTAGAAATGACCTCAACTGTATATTATAATCTTTATTCCTATACTACATAATACAATTTTTATACTGTATAAATGAAACAATTTCATGAGCTTCAAAAATAAATGCTTCATTACTTACATAAAAACGTGTTTAGAAGACAAAGCGCAAAAAAAGTTTTAAGAAAATATTATTTTACGAAAGCAAATAAAACGTATCAAAAGTAATAAATATTGAACATCACCGGCTCTTATTTACTCGCCGTCTAATAAGGTCAATTTAACAATGAAATCTTCTGGTAGTAGAGGCCGCTAGCTCTCGGGGAAAACTGTCACGCTGACATTTGTCATATCTGACACGTAGTTGTTGACAAATTAGATTTCTATCGATTTACTAGCTGACCCGGCAAACATTCTTTTGCAATATAAATTATTTCTAGATCTAAATTTTGGTAGTTAAATAAAAAATGAAATTTAAATAAATAAATTATAATTAAATTAAATTATAAATTATACATAAAAATTTATCGTACCACAATAATTATATTGAACAGTATCTTGCAACCTTATTGCGCATCTATGGATGAAAGTAAAGATAATAACATCGTTATTAAAAAATGGGGGTTGGCGGTAGAAGGGTGAAAATTTGGGGTTATATGTATTTTTTGATGTCAAATCTAAAAAAAAAAATTGTCCAAAAAATAAATAATTTTTGGGTGGGCCACCCCTATCACGAACTCCATTGCTTGCCCTCGGGGTACCCCCTCAGGCGCAATCACGTTCTCGTCTGGTAAATATTACCTACCTCCCTTAATGTTTAAATAACTATTTTCTCATTTTTATTTTAAAAATTATTGAAAGCCAGACATTTTACTAGCTATTATTGGCAGGTCTAACAAAAACAATTGAACAACATTTAGCCGATATCGCAATAACAGACTTGGTCATTATTAATGTACCATCTGTACCAGCTTTTACACTGGGAACACTATCCGAACAATGTAAGAATTCACTGCAAACTGTAAGTTTGTAATCAAGTCACAACACACTCAGTCGTTTTTGCGGCAAAAACTTGCGTTAAGTATTTAGTCAAAAAACCTCTCTGTGTCATCAAAAGTGAATTTATTTTGATACACCGACGCATCAAACCGAAGGAGGGAAAAGGGCCAAAAAAATGGGTTTTCAAAAAAATTTTATTACAGCAAATTTTCATATATTGATGAGTTCTACGACCAGTTAAATGGTTTGGATTCAATTCCATAGCAGGTTGTGTTAACAAATTTTTTGGTTGACGGTAAACATAAATTCTAAAACAGTACACCAGAAATAAGTAATTTTTTTATGTGGCAGCATTTAAGTTGAAGAAATTTCTCATTGTTTTAATATCAAATTAGCATGACTACCTGAACAAAAGATGACAATCTTAATATATATAAATCTCGTGTCACAATGTTTGTCCTCAATGGACTCCTAAACCACTTAACCGATTATAATAAAATTCGCACACCATGTGCAGTGCGATCCAACTTGAGAGATACGATAGTTTAAATCTCAAATTATAGTCGCAATTTTAATTTATTGCTAATTATTTGTCTGTTATTATTTGACAGTCACAATTATCTGTTAACTCCAAATGATTCTAACAGATGTCGATACCTTTCGACTGGGTTGAGTAAGTAATCAATAGATGGCGCTGCTATGGTAAATCTACGAACGTGTCATATAAGCTACATTTTAACAGCATAATTACCACGTGTTGTTGACGCTATAAAATTAATTAAATTTATTTTGTAGTGAACGAAATATTGTGTTCAACGTACTTCCCCTTCAAATCTCAATCCAGTGAATTTGTATACCAATATCAACATTTTCGTCTTTGTTCGTAAATAATTTCATTGTACTAAAGGGTTATAGTAGTAGAAAGTCAAATAAGGAGATCACCATATTTTTTTACAAATACCATCTGTGTGAAAAAGCATAGTGGACTCCGTGACTGATGTTCTCTTATTGTTCCTCTTAGATTGTTTACTATAATGTAATATAACAAAAACTTTAGCCACAGCAACGCGTGGCCGGGTCAGCTAGTTCTTTAATATATTATTATTCATTGCAGTGTTCATTTGAGATTGGAGGAGAAGTTGATTGTACGGATGGGACGTGATGGTGGTGTTCAACAATTTGAATTATTGGGTCTAGTGACATTACACATTGCTGATGAAAAATGGGGTCGAATTCGTGTACAATTAGAAAATAAAGACACTCGCGGTGTGCAGTTACAGACTCATCCAAATGTGGACAAGGAGTTATTCAAACTGCGTTCTCAAGTATCAAATAAAATGTATTGACATATTTACAAGTTATAACGTAATTGTTGTTTTAGATTGGATTGAAACAACCATCAAAACCATTCCCATTGCACACTGATGTAGGTGTTCTTAAATGGAGATTACAAAGCACAGATGAAAATTTAGTGCCACTTCTTATAAATTGTTGGCCTTCTGAAGCAGGCGACGGCAGTTGCGATGTCAACATAGAATATGAACTTGCAGATACCGATTTGGAACTTACAGATGTAAATATTTCCATTCCGTTACCGTAAGTAGCAAAGAAGACAGAGATATGAATCGAAATTTTATTAAATAATTTTAGAATTGGTTGTAATCCAGTTGTGGGCGAATGTGACGGTTCATGCACACATGAATCAAGACGCAATCAATTGACATGGAGTCTACCTCTTATAGATTCTAGCAACAAATCTGGTTCACTAGAATTTAGTGCACCACGCTCTATTCCAAATGATTTTTTTCCATTAACTGTTGTATTTTGTGCAAAGTCATCATATGCAAATATTAAGGTAAGATACCCCAATTCTTTACAGAGTGAGTGAGTAGTGCAAAAAAATGGATCGTCTATAAGTTGCATGAGATCAATGTGTATTAAAAAATCTATTAGACATTGCGACAACACCATAGTAATGCCGTTTTGCGACGTGGCTAAAACAACTTGAAATTGGCCAGTCACTCTTATTTAATTCTACATTTGCATTCAACTTCTAAAGAAACTTTGAAAAAACCCTCAGGCTCAGCTTGGTTTTTGGGGCATATAGTTATTGAAGCTATACGAATTCAGTCAAATTATGTTAGCAAAATGCTGCGTCTGAGACTTCTTTAGAGCACGTTTTTCACCGATACGCAGTAGACGCTTACTTACGCCATCGAGCTAAAGGTCCAATTACCAGTAGTGAACGACGCGGGAAATTTCAACTCAGTTCATAACACGAGACATGTTCACCGTGTAATTCTTATGGGTGAAGCCGAGGCGTCACTTTAACGCTTACATTCTACCATTAAAGTAATTTTCTTATAATAAATATATCCCACTACCTTCACCATTTAGACCGGTGTTTTTACTCTTGATCTGAATACCAAATATGAACGGAACTGGTGGTATTTAATAAATTTTTAAAATAAACTTTTGCCACTGCCCCGAACGTATGTCGTATACTACCATTAACTTCCCCTTCCACTTAAACGGCTTTGATTTTCAGACAGTACAGATATGATTCTAAATTTAAAATGATACATAAAGGAGATCTCATATTTGCAAATGTTTCCAATCACTTGCCAAATTTTAATTTAAGAATCCTCGTCAATCCCAAACTTTTTTTTTTCACACATTTTAGCTAGAAAAGGAAAAACTTAGCACTCTTGATTAAACTTTCTGTGTACAAGTAAAAATCACTTCCATTTTAGTGCGAACTAGGTCTGAAAGACCCATTTGAAAAAAAAAACATTATTTAAAACAGAATTTATTTTAAAATAAAAAGCTATATATTCGACACTGTACATTGCACTTCCTAATGCAAAATCTGATTCACTTTTGATGAAAAACTGACCCAGAAACTGTTTCTTCGATGGGGCATTTAAATAGTCCTCGGACATTAATAGTTCTTCGACACTGTGAAGTAGATTTTATTCCGATCTTTCTGGTTCAGAGCCCTTGCAGTTCTTTACTTATACATCATAATTGTACTTCATACAGAATTTATCAATTTACATTAACTTACCTTAACTGTGTATTGATTGGTGATTTCGTATTCTGCCTCGAACAAAACCTTCAAGCATTTTTAATTCAGCATCCCAGTTGACTTTCACTACGTTATTTGATTGCAAAGCATTTTCTCCATTCACAACGCATTTTCGATCGTCCACACAAAAATCGGTATATCCAAAAAAAAAAACACGTCTAGATTGTCCTAAAGTCCTAAAATTGTGATTAGGATTATTTTTTGTTGCGTTGAAAAGATGAAATCAACTGTCATATATTGGGGATCAGCACTACCTACCTTCACTACCACCACGCCATCATAAAATAATCGCTCTCTTTTTCTTTCCGACGTGTTTATTGTCCGTTTCACTCATGCGCAACGATGTACGTTACTTCGATAGATATCGTTGTTTTTAATTTGCGATATTTCTTTAGCAGAAGCTTTTTATAGAGTTAAACCTTTAGTAACATGAAGATAATTGTACAGGCTTTATCGCTGGCACCAAGAACTACTTAAGATTTCTTCTACCTATGCGGTAGTTTGTAAAACCAAGCTCCCATAAGAAACCCATAGTAGAATTTTTGAATTAAGAACTGGCGCGCAGTGGTCGATTCTAATCTTACTTGAGTGGTCAATTGTATAACATGTCAACATGGAGTTACTCATTCTCTTGCTCTCTCACTATGTCTTCCCTCCTCTCTCCTCCCTCTCTGTTTCTCTCCACCCCTTTCCCCTCCCTCCCTCTCTATCTCCTGTTTAAAATAATAAAAAAAAATGGGATTAGAACATACTAATAATTGCTAATGAAATACATACCTGTGAGTCAAACTCGGAACTCCCGCCGTTCCCGTCGTTAGGCTCTACGGCGTCTCCGTCCAACCCAGTACGGATACACCGGACTTCCTGGTGCTAGCTACCCAAACTGTACTATAGTAGGTGGGTTGGCTAATTTGTTAGATACGAAATAAATTTCGGTCTGCAAATCTTTTGAAGCATGTAAAAAAGGAAGAACCGTTGGAATGCCAACTCCACAACTGTTGGATTACTCACTCGAGACCACATACTACACAAAGAGCTCCCATGTTCCTCGTCGACACGTACTGATAGACTTGGACCAGTGCATCACTTCAAGATTTAGTAAAGCTCGCAGTCGTGGCGACCAAACAGGAGACACATTAGTTGATCTGTAAAGTGTGACAGATTATATGTATATCGCATTAACCACCTCATAAAGTTACGTACACTGTCCTCTTCGCCTCCCACACGGGTAAGGTTAACTTTGAATCTGCAACCAAGCAAGCTCGTTTAGTTTAGAGCCTTTAAGGCTCGGTCGACCAGTCGTGGAAGATCGTGCCACTCCACATCTGACCTCGGACCTGTCAAAGAATGCGTCGTGGCTACGGATATCGACGAAAAATAACGTGGTAATGAACTGTCCGTTTTCTCTTAACCATCAAAGACGGATATCCTGGCGGGTGAGCTACAAGTCTGATCTCACCGGCACAACCGCCAAGATTCCTCGACTCCGTTAACGCCCCTAGACCTATCGCCAGACAAGTACCAATTGCGGCACAAGTACAAGATGTGAAATTTTGCAGACCTTTGATTCGGAACTGAAGGTTTTGGTTTGGCCCCCGTTTTATGAAATCTCCTCCATCAATTAGAATGTGAGGGTTTTTTTTTTGAAGCAAGAGACGCAATGTTCTCGCATCATTGAACCATAGAGTTTATCTCACCAATAGCTGTACAGGACAGGATTATACGGCATCTCTCACGTCCCCTGTGCAAGGTAACAATTACCAGCCCCGTTTTCCCGGTCCGGAAGACGGCAAGTCACTAATTAAGTACTGTTGACCTTTGTAAAATCCTCGTCTCCGAGACCCCCAGCTAGGCCCTAGACCCGAAAGGCGGAAAGCCTTTCGGCTTTAGGGCTTCCCAATGAGAAAAAACTCATCAAGAAGCTTTCACTATCCCCTCGAGTAGCAAAGCAGGTTACACCGGAGAACGACACCCATCCAAAAGCGCTTGGACAACGCGCTCCGACGTTCCAGGGTTTGTCTGTCGAGTGGGCAGCTCGAACAAATAGATGCTCGTGCACTTACTTGTTCGAGATGCGTATAGCCTTACGTGCTGTAGATTAGCCATGGTTTTCCGAGTCTTCGGTGCATTGCTAACCAGTCTGTACCATAGGAGATGAGGTTAGCCAGCTTGTTAGATGCGAAATAAATTTCGATTTGCAGCCTTTTAAAGTATATAAAAAAGAGCGAGTATTTTGATGGGATGTCAACCCTCCAACTGGTGAATTCACTTGTTGTAGACACTATATTACCCAGATAGCTCCCCAAAGCGCACGTAGAACTTCACTAGAGCACAAGTGCTTCGCTTCGGCTCCGACATTTTTACATTTACATGTGCCAGTTTCGTGCGGTGGTGGTCCGTAGAGACTAGAATGTGGTACAGCGCGTTTCTGAGTTACACGTGTACCCGAACTAGTGGTTTACTTCAAGATTTAGTAAACCTCGCGGTTCGTGACTTCCAAGCAGGCAGATTAGTTGACCTCTCTCGCTGTGAGAGATGCAAGATTCAAATATCTACTCACTGTCACAACCGCCTGGCTTCCACATATCCTTTAACACCCCAGGACATATAATCAGTGAAGCAAAAGTACCCGATTCCCAATTTTGCAGTCTTTTTACAAGGAACTGAAAGGCTTTGGTCGGCCTACGGAAAAATTAGAATTTAAGTTATTAGAGTACTATAAATTTAAGATTAACCCGTTTTCGGTCTGTCCAAGAGATTGATGAATGGCAATAGTCAACTTCTGCCGCCAAAAAATTATTTTTTGTAAAATCGTATCGAAAAGAAGTCATTTATACAATAATTTGCAGGCGTAAATAGTGCCATTTGTTTTTTTAAAGCTTTACGGGGGCTTCATCGATTTAAAAAAAATCTTATTTGCATTTCGGACGTGAACGACGATTTTGGCTCTTTGGTTTCTTATAATCCCTTGGCCCTCAGGCCTCGGGCTTACAAATTCCCCGCGGGCCAAAATCGCCTTCATCATGGCCTTAATACAACAAAGAACTCTTTCGAAAGTGACAAATTTTTTTGTCGAGTCGTGTTCACGGCCCGCTGGATGTAATTAACACCGGGACCCGGTTTATCGAAAGCGAATTAACGTTAATTCGCGATTAACTTTTAATTTAGGTCCGTTGCTAGGAAACGTGCATGTTTCAACCAATCATGGGCTCATATTCTACATTTTAATCCTCTGTTAAATTAATCGAAAATGAAATATTTAATTCGCTTTCTATAAGTCATGTTAAAAGAAGCTCTCGACTGGTTAATACCTGCACATATAGTTCTTGCAAACTAGCACCAGACAGGGAAGATCATAAAAATTAAGCAACAATGAAAACGTTAATTAAGTGTTAAGAAAGGCGGCAAGTACCCAGACAATAGAACAAATAGAATAGCGTCATGTCCTGAGTATCGCTTCTAGAATTTTCTAGGTAAACCAGCCGGCGACTGGCTAAAAGAGGTAGTGTCATAAATTTCGGTACGTTGTAATCCGATTAGGGTCGTCTTTGTTGCTTAATTTTTATGATCTTCCCTATCCGGTGCTAGTTTGCAAGAACTATACTTGCTTTCTACTATGCTCGCCATCTGTCTTAAAATATCTGTCTCTCGAGTTACTGTTTAACTTTGGCGAGAAGAGTAACTTATTTGAAATGACCCTCCTTCATGATAATATACCCTGTTTCCACTGACCCCTTAAATTCATTTCATTCAAAAATTACTCAAACTCTTATTATTGGAGAGATTTTTCACGAAAGCTTGATGTCTGTGGCTTTACTTTCTACTAACTTGTTCAATTAACTGTTCGTGTGATGTAAGACATGATCAATCGCATCATATATTGCGGATGTTATCACCCTTGAGTTTGTTCATAATTTCTATTTGTTTTTTCTTTTCAGATCGTCGATGTGTTAATGGTGGATGATGATTCTCCCGTTAAGTATTCTGTGGAAAATGTTCTATTTCCTGATAAGTATGAAATAGTGTAAGTGTTACTGTAGGGTAATGTAATTACTAGAATTATAACACACAATTTACTTGTATAAATATTACTAATATGTTATTCTGTCTTGGTTTTTGTACAAAATTTTTAAGAAGTTTGTTTTATTTTTGTCTATATAAATAAAGCAAGTCATGAGTATATTTATAATTTTCTGTTTTATTCACCTAAATAAAACATTTTGGCCTGGAATAAAATGTTTATTAAAAGTATTCACAAAATTAACTTACGAGTCGTGGCATTAAAAAAAGTAAAGTTTTAAAAATTTTGGACCAGTATTATTACTTAAGCCATATATAATAGGCTATGTTAAATGTTATCATTGGTAAAAATGTGTTGATGACGTAATTTTGTACTGTCGGAATGCAAACATCCGTCAACAGTCTTATATTCTTGGACAACACTATTTAAAAATCATTACATTTTGTTTTTATAAATAAAATAATTCTCTAACAACAAGTTATTTATTTACAACATTATGAACACAATTATCGTACGTTCAAGACGTCAACACAACGTAACCAGTCCGAAAGTAAGTGGAAAGTGTATCACATCAGTAATATGAATAGTAGAAAAAATTAAAGTCACCAGTTAAAAGTGTATTAACATAATAAGTTTGTACTTCATAATTTGTAACATGCAATCACCAGGAAAAAGTCACAGATAAATTACCGAATTTAAAAATTATTAAACTAAAATCCGATTTATAAATTACAGTGGCCAAGAAAATTTTTAGCAATCAAAACATCTTTTTTTTTCACTAATCCGTCCCTATAATTTAGGTGTGAGAAACGTTTGCTTCCACCACGTCAGTATTTCTTTGCGAGTCGACGCTACATTAGGAAAATAGCAAATTAATGACTGTTGATAGTTTACATATGGCAAAACATACAAAATTTCTGCAAGATAAAACACGTTCGACTTAAAAATAAAATTTTCACAAAAGTCTATTTGGCAAAATTATTCACAATGACAAGACAACTTTGCTAAGTTTTATGGTCAATTAAAAAACAAATGCACGTTGGACAAAAGTCGTTTGCAACAATAAGGGCATTCAAAAACTGAAAATCGTCTATGTGAAAAGTTATGTGTTCAGAACAAAAAAAAATCAGTTTTCACATTTGAATTCATCATGAACTACTCAGGATCATCCAAATTACCTTTTCTAGGAGAAATGAGGTAAGACAATATTTTTTTTGCTATTCCTAAACACAGCATTTCCTAGATTTGAAGATATTTTTTACTTCCTGTGCGTAAGCTAATGTAAGCATAAAAAAGAAAACATTTTGTATACTTAAAAGGCGATAAATATAATGAGCAACAAACAAAAAATTTGAAAAACAGTCTTCATGTGGCTTGCAACATATTTTTAATTTTTTTTTTTACAACTGGACCAAATTTTGTATTTTTTATTACTATACCATAATTAGGTACTGCAGTATATTATTTAACATAAAAATATTAATCGGTTTTTATGAATCTTCTTTTTGATTTCTAATACTCCTATTAAGTTTTTTCAGAATTATAAAATAACTACGGAAATCTTGCAAAATGTCACTTTTTTGCTATAGTTTTGTTAAGAAAAAGTAAATAGAAATTGGACATAATAAATTCGTTATTATACACAACTAATGATTTTTTTTTTAATTTTGGAAGCACAGTTTCCACGTTAGATGTAAATTCCCTCTTATAATTATACATAGTAATTTATAAATCGGTTGGAAGTAGAACATGGATTTCCCATTATGTTCGTAGCAATGAAACTCATCAAACTTTGAAGACCTCTCTAAAAAAATTAAATGAATAATAAAGCCGCACCTAAACTAAATATAATTCTAAATGTTAGCAACTCAAAAATTGGAATTTATTTTGATTTTTGTATTGTATATAGAATATAAAAATTTCTAAATATTTCTGCTTGTTAACTTTTTTTGTTATGTACCGTATATCAAGTTTTATAATTTGTCTATTGATATTTTTTACAACACTTGTTTTTTTTTTTAGATTTACCATCGTACAAATGTTGAATTGAATCATTTTCATAGAAAAAAAAAACTGCGAATAGGACGTTACCTGTTCAAATTTTACTTTATACCGGGTGTCTGAAAAATGGCGGATTAACTCTCCGCTACGCTCTTAACAATCAACTGGTGAGTCTGGGAAAAATAGTAAAAAAAATCCTTCTCACATTTTGGTGGAGTTATAATGATTTTAAAATTGGTTCTTTTGCTACGTTTAACAACTAAACAACTCATTCATTATCAGAATAACTAGTAGTAAAACTTTTAGTTAATATTTTTCTCGCCCATGACCATGTTTAATTACCATTTTCGTTAGAATGCACAAAGATATGGCTGTGTTGCTTTGGTAATAATTTGATAAAATTCCATTTGACAACAATGTTTGCCTGATATAAAGCGAAGGTGGATTTCAGTCAGCATCGTTACTAAGAAACCAGAAAGTAAAGTAAGAGGTATTCACGCATTAGGTGTGTACAGTGTTGCCAATTTTACTTTTATAAAACCACGTATTTTTTGTTATCTTCGTTATAAAGAATTTGTTTATTATTTTTTTGGGACCCCCGAAATTCCCGTATATAACGTACTGAAGAGTTAATCCGCCATTTTCCAGACAGCCGGTATAAATTGTTATTTTTATAAGCTGATTAGCATGTTAAATCGTGTCGCTTGTATATAATAATTCTGTTAAAAATGTTCACGAATAAATACAAAATATAAACATAATCTTTTTATATGACTTTACATGAACTAATAATAATAAGCTTTCATTTGTACCTATTACATTTATAAAATGTTAAAGTACTATACATTACAAATAAGTTGCAATTAACACGTGTAACTACATGGACTACATACCATTTACATTTGAATAGAACCATTTTAACACGCTTTCGTGGTGTTCCATTATACGTCCAAAAAACTATTATTTATAACTTATTTTTGTATTAGAACTTTAACACAACACAAGAGAAAATTTTAAAAGAAACAAAAAAAAAACTATTCGATAAGGGCTAGCAGGAGAAAAAAATGTTTTCTTCGAAAAGCTTGATCTAAGTTTTAATAGCCAAATTTTTAGATATAGAAAAAGAACGAAATATATAGAAAAGGAACTAAACAAGATATATTCTGGTATACAAATATCGGTGAAAAGTAATGACAAACATTTAATTTTCACTGAAATGTAAGAATGAGACATAATTAACTAAGTTATTAAATGTACAAAAATATAACAAGGGAAAACAATAAAAAATATTCGTATCTTAGTTTATGAGGGGTACGATTAACTTAGATAAGATAGGCTTTAAGTTGGTAAAATAACAAATGAGCTGGTACTCACTTGCTAGACGCAAAAATACTCTCATGATCCCAGCAACTGGAATTTTTTATTTCAATATACTCGTATAATAACGACTTTGTTCTTCAAAATAAATCAAAGAAGCAAGTGGGGAATTTGGTGTGTCGATAACAAAGCAACGAGTGCCACTGACTCTTCCCTGGTATGGTGCACTACCTCGTATCCTAATTTTTGAGAAAGTTTTTCATCGGTGATACAAGGTGTTTCACCGATGTTAGGTTTGTGGCAAAAATTCAGAGGATTATTTTAAGATTTTTTTGTCCTTGGAACATTACTACCACGAGCTAGGATCCAATCTTCTCCTCAACGAGCAAAATATTGGAGTTGTTTCTGATTACATTACCCCCCTTAATTATTCAGTTTCTCAAATTTTCCTCATTTTCCACCATAATAGTATTAACAATACAAGTAAGTAAGTAACAATACAAGGAATTTCAGTCTGGGGATTTTATCGCCCCGTATCTTCTTTCCTAAAATCCTCCAATGATTTTTTTTTTAAATAACCCGAGAAAAAACCCGCATTTTTTCCGCATGTTTAGCAAATATCCTGTATATACACACTTAAAACTGAAAAAATATTAGTCATTAAAAAAAGGTGTAAAATTAATTAAGCAGAACTTCCCTCGCCCCCGAAGTACACCACAACGTATCCAGCTTTTTAAAAAATTAGAAGATTTAATATTGTGATATTTTTTTATCATAATTTTAGTTAACATACATGTATATATTGTACGTAATGTTAAAATAATGAGAAAGAAGAGCGCTATTTCAAGTGTTTCCACAAGTTTCTCGAATTTTCTGATGGCGTCATCAACTTTTTATTAGGCACAAATATATCAATTTACCAATTTGGATAGATAAGTAGTGTAATTAATACTAATAGCAATATTATTGCACTCGCAGAACTTTAGGAGCATGGTAAGCTGTTTTTAATTTAATCAATTAATAAAATAAAATTCTTCATTCCTTAATTTTTTGAGATCGCTGTATTTATATATAATTCTAAAAAGTAAAAACGTTGGTGGGGATGATCAGCCAAATTTTGGTTAGCGTTTAACCATTTAACCATTTTAACCATCCTAATATCACGTAGATAAAATTTTACAGCAATCGGTCCAATAAGTTCGGAGATTACATGTCTAATAAAAATGGATACAAATGACAGACAGACGGACGGAAATGGGAGACTACTTTACACCCGGGAAGTAAAAATGATTTACGCTGCAAAATGCTGAGAAGACGTCATCAAATTATTGATGATATTACAAAACAGGGTTTTAATATCTACATGACATTCCTAAAATACATATAAAATTTCGCAACAATCGGTCTGGTACCTACTTCCGAAGATTACTATCTGTCTAATAAAATGCATACAAATAACAGACGACAGTACAGAAACTAGAGACCTGCGGTTTCGTACTCTTAGGGTCATGAAACATCTGGAAAATATGAAAGTAAACATTCGTCGCATAGTTACAAGCTAAGGAATTCTTAGAATAATTCCTTAGCTTACACTCGGGAAGTAAAAAAAATAATAGATCAAGACAATTATCACAGTAAGAATATAAAAAAAAAACTGGTCTAAAGTTATTTCGATAGAACTTCCTTCACCGTCCAAAAAATTCCGCTTTTTTGAAAAGTTATAAAATTTGATTTTGTGATTTTTTACTTCCCGAGCGTAAGCCAAGGGAGTATTGTAATCGAATACATCGAATTACTTTTCATGACCCGTACACTCCTTAGAGTACGAAAAAATAGGTCTCTCGTTTCCG